GTCACTAGGGTGTCCATGAAATCCATGGAGACACTCTGTCCTGGACCAGCGGGAATAGGTAAAGGCTTTAACAACCCAAGCGGTGCTTGAGTTTGCGGCTTGTCCCGCTGACAGACCTGACAGGTCTCTACGTACTTTTTGGCGTCATCTAACATTCCAGGCCACCAAAATCGCTGTACTAGATTAACACTCGTCTTCTTGTAGCTAAAGTGTCCGGTTGCGTCATGACATTCTCCTAGAAACAAACTACGCAAACGTTCACTAGATGGAATTACTAACCTTTTTATTCCGAGCTTATCAAGATAGAGAAGCCCGTCCACCATTACAAACTCACTCTCGGTGGCCTTGTCTTTTGCCTGAAGTTTGCGAATGATGTCCATCGTGACAGGGTCTTCCTAATAGGCTCCCACCAACGATTGCGTTACTTCATCAGATACGCCAAAGTCAGAAACTAGCGCACCTAGGTAGTCTGCCCTACGTGATAGCGCATCTGCAACCTTGTTGTACTCTCCCTTCAGATACTCAAGCTTGAAGTCATATTGGTCTATGACCTCAATCCATCGCTTGAGTGCGTCAGAAAGAGCCGGTTGAGTCTTGATCCATTTGAGGGTCTGATGATCAGTCCTCAAGCAGAAGAACCTTCCCAATAGGAAGTGTCTCCAATGGACAAGTGCTTTATATAGAGCGAAGAGTTCCCTTTCATAGGTGGACTTCGCCAGTTTCTTTGATGGCATCTTCTTGCTCATGTACTCAATCGGTCTCAACTTTTTCCCATCCTGTTGAGCCAGCACTGCGCCAATGCCGTATTGGCTTGCGTCAGTGGTCACTATGAATGGCTTATGAGGATCGAGAACCATGAGAACCTCATGATTCATGAGTGGATGCTTCAGTCGCTTGAAAGCACCTTCGCACTCATGACTCCAGTCCCACGGTGTGTCAAGTCAAGTGAGATCTGTCAAAGGAGAAGCGAGTGTAGAATAGTTCTTTATGAAGTTCCTATAGTAGCCGCACATTCCTAAGAAAGATCTGACCTCAGTGACAGTCTGAGGTCGTGGCCAGTCTCGAATACTAGCCACCTTCGCATCTTCCAACCTAATCCCTTCCGCAGATTCTTCATGACCCAAGTATAGTATCTTAGTGCGACCAGACTCACACTTCTCTAAGTTGACCACGACAGTCTCAACATGTTGTGCATGCTCCCCTGCAGACTTGCAAAAGATCAGAATGTCGTCAAGGTAAACCACGACAAACTTATCTAAATGGTCATGGAAGATCCGATTCATAGCGTGTTGGAATGTTCCCGACGCGTTACAAAGACCAAAGGGCATCACTACAAACTCATACAGACCATATCGCATTTGAAAAGTTGTCTTGTGTTGGTCCTCAGGTCTTATAGAGATCTGATGATAGCCGGATTTCAAGTCTATCTTACTATAGTACTTACATCCCTGCATCCTATCCAATAGGTCGTCTATGCGAGGTAGAGGCTCTGCGTTCTTCATAGTGATGGCATTGAGGCCTCTATAGTCAATGCACATCCTCAATGTACCGTAGCATAAGAGAGGCTCTGCGTTCTTCATAGTGATGGCATTGAGGCCTCTATAGTCAATGCACATCCTTCTTTGGTACGAGTAGCATGGGAGATCCGTAAGGGGAAGTACGAGGCCGAATCCATCCCTTCTCTGTCAGCTCTTTCAGTTGTTGCAGGAGTTCATGTAACTCGGCGGGAGCCATCCTATAGATCCTCCCCTTCGGGGTTTTACTCCCTGGGATGATTTCTATAGCGTGGACAACTTCCCTTTCTACGACCCCTGCAGGCTCTTCGAACAGATCATGGAACGACGCGTTCTATCTCTGGGGGTGTTTTAACGGCCTCCCCTTTCTCAGAGACATACACTAGGTACATACCCTCCTCTTGGTTTTGCTTATAGTAATTGTGGAATGCTGATGCACACAAGCAACCATAGGTATCTATAATGCTACTGGCTTTGAACTTAGTCAATCTGACAGTTCTGCCATCGGGCAACTTATGTTTGAGCACCTTCTTATCCCAGTCGAACTGGGGCTTAGCAA